ACTGCCAGTCAGGGATATGCTCTGTCAATCCAATCCCACAAAGGGGGTGGGGTAAGAGAAGGGAGACCCACTTTTAAACTTATACACCTCGCCCAGCCGGGCATGGCTCAGGGGTTGAGTGTTGACCTAGGATCCAGGCGATCAGGGTCCGATTCCCGGTCAGGGCACATGCCCGGGATGCGGGCTTGATCCCTAGTTGGGGGCGTGCAGGAGGCAGCGGATCAATGACTCTCTCATCACTGATGTTTCTCTCTCTCTCTCTCCCTCTCCTTTCTTCTCTCTGAAATCAATAAAGATATATTTTTAAAAAATAAATAAAAATAAACTTATACACCTCAAAGTTGTATGAATATTTTTGGAACAGGTAATTATTTTTTCTATTAACAATACTGAGGCAGAAAAGGAGAATGACGAAGGGGAGGAAATAATGCACTGAATGCTCCCTAGGAAGCTCCCTGGCTCACCAGGAAACCACAACCCAGAGCAGGAGGTGAATTTTGCAAAACTGACTGAACTCTTCCCAGCTCCTGAGATTACTACCTCCTAAGTGTACACAAACATCTTTCTTAGAAATTATAACTTCCTCGCCCTGGCTGGGTGGCTCAGGTGGTTGGAGCATCGCCTGTACACCAAAAGGTCGCTGGTTCCATTCCCGGTCAGGGCACATACCCAGGTTTCAGGTTCCATCCAGGTCGGGGTTCAAACCAGAGGCAACCGATGGATGTTTCTCTCTCACATCTCTCTCACCCCCTTCGTCTCTCTCTCTAAAAGTCATTAAAAACATATCATCAGGTGAAGATTTTTAAAAAAAAGAAAATAACCTCCCTTGTTCATTGCTCTTCAAAGATTATGAACAAAAATGTTTGCAACCCAGCTGGCATGGCTCAGCAGTTGAGCATCAACCTATGATCCAGGAGATGGGGGTTTGATTCCCGGTCAGGCCACATGCCCGGGTTGCGGGCTGGATCCCCTGTCGGGGGCCTGCAGGAGGCAGCCGATCAATGACTCTCTCATCATTGATGTTTCTGTCTCAACTCCCTTCCTCTCTCTAAAATCAATAAAGACATATTTTTTTAAAAAATGTTTGTAATCCTATTGGTGAGTCCTTTCATAAACTACTGGATATAATTTCTCTGGGAATGGAAACTATTTTATTATTTTTTTAATTCTCACCTGAGGATATTTTTTTCCACTGCTTTTCAGAGAGAGAGAGAGAGAGAGAGAGAGAGAGATGGATTGGTTGCTGGCAACCAAAGGGTACCTTGGCCAGGATCAAACCTGCGACCCTTCAGTCTGAGGGCCGATGCTCTAACCACTGAGCCAAACCAGCTAGGGCTGGAAACTATTTTAAAACGGTCAAATATTATCCTACCTCTTTTTGTCTTCAAAGTGTTTTTAACTAGATTTTTTTTTTTTTGACAAATCAGGAACCTTCTCCATAGAAAAGGCAAAAGATAAGAAATTTAAGCAATCTGTCATTTTTCTGTCATCTGTTACACTACTTTTAAAATATATTTTAAAAATATGAATCAAATGTGAAAAATATTAACACTTATGAAATAAAGGCCATGAGTATGTGGGTGCTCATTATACTTTTCTCTCCATTTTTCTAGGTTTGAAAATGTTCAGGATTAAAGGTAAAATAAATATATTACTACGCCCAAGTAGTAGACTTTCTTGTCTACGTTTTAGTCTAAATCAATCCTAAGGGCTTCTTTTGTCTTTGTTTTTTTTTTCATGATTTTGAGGCTCAGCCGTACTAATAATATTCCTGAGGTCTGTTATGTGGCTAGATGTCATTGGTAAGAGCCTGCATCTTGTCCATGTCAGTAACCCCGTGTATTTTTCTATGAGTATCTCTCTCACTTAATTTTTAAAATTGATGATACTCAAAAATATAAAAGGGACACTCTGAAGCTTCCTTCCACTCCTGATGGTCATCTCTTCCCACCGGCAACAACTTTATTAGCATCTCATACACACTTCCATGCATATTCTATGCTTCTATGAGCAAATATATTTTTTCTTTCTATAAATGGTAGCATACTATATATGTGGTCCTATTCCTTACATTTTCATTCAATAATATAACCTAGAGATTTAACCACAGCCATGTCATGAGCTTTTAAATTTTTTATGGCTGCATAATACAGGGTGGGGCAAAAGTAGGTTTACAATGGTGAGTACTTGAGAGTTTATTCTTTTTTTTTTAAATATATCTTTATTGATTTCAGAGAGAGGAATGGAGAGGGAGAGAGAGAGATAGAAACATCAATGATGAGAGAGTCATTGATCAAGCCCGCAACCGGGCATGTGCCCTGACCGGGAATCGAACCCTGATCGCCTGGATCCTAGGTCAACCCTCAACCGCTGAGCCACGCCCGGCCGGGGAAGTGAGTTTATTCTTGAATTTATTATTTTTCATATGAACAACTGTAAACCTGCTTTTGCCCCACCCTGTATTTGTATAGGTAAACCATAATTTATTTAACCAGTCCTCAAATTGACAGTGTACTCCAAAGTTTTGCTACTACAAACAATAGTGGAAGGATTAAGCCTGTAAGTTTATATTTTGTGTGAAACTATCTACAGGAAACAGTCTCAAAACAGGCATTGCTGAGTCAAGGGGGACATGCATTTTTAATTCTGATAGCTAATGACAAATGTTCCTCGGCAGTGGCTCAACCGATTTATAGTCCCATCAACAACAGTATATAAGCCCCTGGAACATCACAACCCTGTCCGTCACAGAATATTAACTAACTCTTGGTTATCTGTCAGTTCGATAAGTGAATTATGTATTTCATTTGTGTTCCCTTTATGAGGGAGGCTGAGCTTGTATCCACTTTGATTTCCTCTTCTGTGAACTACCTGTTCACACCCTTCACTCACTTTCCTATTTGTCTATTAATCTTTTTCTTAATGATTTTAAAAGCTGAATGGTTTCTGGTGTTGTCTTAACAATGGGACTACATAATTCCTGAAATAAAATAATTTTAAAAGAACTGAAAGAGGCACACAAGCATTGCAGTATCATTCACAAATGTCCACTGATGCAACCCAAGTGTCCACTGATGAATGAACAAACAAAAGGTGGTCTATCCATACACTGGAATATTATTCAGCCTTAAAAAGGAAGGAAATTCCGCCACATGCTACAACACAGATCAACTTTGAGGACATTATGCCAGTCATGGAAGGACAAGCACTATGATTCCATTTGAAAAATGTACCAGAAGAGTCAAATTCATGAGTCAGAAAGTAGAAAGGTGGTTGCCAGAGGCCGGGGGGGAAACAGGAGTTGTTTAATGGTTATGGTGTTTTGTAAAATGCAGGTCTGGAGATGGACGGTGATGATGGTCGCACAATGTGAATGTACTTAACCCTATGAACTGTACACTTAAACGCGGTTAAGCTGCTGCGCCGGCCGCTGTGGCTCAGGTGGCTGGGCCAGGGTTACTGAAAGGTTGCTGGTTGGATTCCCGGTCAGGGAATGTGCTCAGGTCGCAGATTTGACCTCTGGTAGGGGGACGTGCAGAAGACAGTCAATCGATGTTATGCTCTCATGTCAATGTTTCTCTCTTCTCCCTTCCTCCCTCTCTCTCTAAAAATCAATAAACTATTCTGTAAAAAAAGATGGTTAAGACAGTGAATTTTGCCCGGCTAGGCGTGACTCAGCAGTTGAGCATTGACCTAGGATCCAGGAGATCGGGGTTCGATTCCTGGTCAGGGCACAAGCCCGGGTTGCGGGCT